AGTAAGCTCCACCTTCGGTTGGTGAGAATGTGACCGATCTCAGCATGAGTCGTTCCGTTGGGCGATTCCCAAGTCCACCGGCGATATTCTTTCTTTATGGAGATGGAGTTTCCCTTAAAGAGTCGTGCGGCGGAGAGGAGCCCAACGAGACGGTTGCCGTTTTCGTTTCGGAGCCCATATCCAAACTTCCCGATCCTATATTCCTTTTCTAGTGGAATCCCGATTTTCGCATTGAAGTCGCCCACAACATACTTGTAGAAGGACTTTTCGTTGCGGGCGACCTCCTCCACGTCTTCGTAGAAAGCTTCTAGTTCTGGGTTATCAGCTGCTTGTTGAAAAGTAGCAGTTGATGATTCTGATGGTCTTCTGACGTGGAGGGCGTAGTCATAGGATGGCTAGTCGAGGTGATAGGATCTCATTCGAATCGACAAGATGTACGATAGGTGGGTGGAGACGACAAAGCCAACGCCTCCGATGTTTCGTGATGGAACCTTTTCACCACGAATGATGAGGGTCCCATCACTCATTTGTCGCACGTCCTTCTTCCTGGACTTCGTTTCCTGCAGAGCGATGATGTGGTAGTTGATATGCTCTGCAGCGTCGAGAAGAGCGCGGAGGTCGGCGTTTGTGGAAAACGTCTGTCCTGGCGTTGTGGGTGCAGAGCATGAGGCAGTCTCCATGGCGTGTCGTCCGGGCAGACGTGTCGTTTTTGTCCAATCCGAAAGGCGCCCTGAGTACCCTGACATCGTTCTTGCTACCACCCGGCGCCGTAGGCGGGATACGATGTGTAGGGTTTCTTTCTAATCGTCTAACTGGAGGAGTAATATGAATTTTCCCCTGCAAGAGGTGGCTTACTAGGCCTACTCTTGACTCCTACGGGGCGATCGCTGACCCCGGGCTTGGAGCGGGGAGGGACCGCCTAGACCAGAAGAGGCCAGACGGCGGAGGATCTGGCGTGGCCAGTTCTTAGCTAGGCATCCGGCCGAAACGCAAACGTCGAACTCCTTCAAAGCTTGGGAGGCCCTACCAGAGTATACACTCGGCTGTGCATCGCAGTTCGACACCCAGTGTCACCCCCACGTCACGATGAGGCGACCGACCATTGTGGGGGCAAAACCACATCACCGCTTGGAATTGCCTCTCATGTCTGGAAGCAGTTTCTGGAAAATGAAAGTAAAACGCGTGAAAAAGTGCAGAGAATTTTTACTAGAATTATGCAGAGCAGAGGTTTCTCCGAAGCCGACTATCCTTGATCTACATTTTCGTGTAAAACATAAGACCACCATCTTCGAACTGAAAAGTATGGAGTAGAAGAAAGTTTTCATCTGATTCTGTTCTTAAATGATACGATCACAAAAAAGATACAGTCAAGCTAGTATTAGTAGTTTGGGCATTCTAGAGCTCGTGAAGGGATTCTAGATGTGCTCTATGACAAAGTGAAGTAAAAATTTCTATCGCTTTCGTTCTTAGTATAGAATTCTTCGTCTGCAGCAAGGTGGCTCAAACTTTTGGAATGATAGTACTACCCTCAAAAGTTAAGATTGCCACGAACCTTTATCTCGGAGCACTCAATACTGCTGATCTTTAGCTTACTACGCCATTATCAGTTTTAAATTGTGCTACTCAGACAACTGCATCGGGAAGTTCGCGGGTGCTTGCTCGGCCACCAATCATCCATGGCGAGCTGCCCGGTATAAACCGATATTGGACCCGATAAGTAACCGCGGCGCATCGTGTAAGCGACCGATAGTTGACCCGATCAGCATGCTTGCGGCCTAAGAAGAGTGGATAATCTTTTGGATTGTCTTTCATGACAACGACTTGAGTGCAAATTGAGCAACATGTTAGCTCATGTCGACATCATCTAATATCGTCGATAACACTCATTCGACTGCTGCAGTTTGTTTCATAAGCATAAAAACTTGACTGTCAGACAGGACCAAACCTGAGAAGCGATTATCGACCCTCACAAACATTTAAGGTAGCCCCATCATTGCGGCGTATCCACGCGGGTTGCGCCTCAACCTATAGCGTGTAAGAAGTACGGCCTTTGATAAGAGCTGCGGCCCGCCGAGCAAGGTGATTGGGCCGCGACTCTCCCGATAATTTCTTCTCAATTTCAAGCTCCCGGGCCGCGGCGTGCGCGGCTAAAATTTTAAGGTCGCGGCGCGCTATGTAACACGCTTTGAGGCCGCGAACTTTCCGATGCAATTCTCTGAGCTAGTATAACCCTACAGATTCCAGATAAACACGGAGATAGGTCATTTGCTGCTTATCTTTCTGTACTACTCAGTGGTTTCTTCCTTGTGCTTTTCCTTCTTTGCTATTTTCGTTTAGAATGCGATTTTTCTTCGATATAAATTCTGCAGACATATCGAGGTTTCTTCAACAGAAACAACTGTCTGAGGACATTGTGACCCTTAACCTCGGAGATGTCCCTCGCTCAGGGTTTCTAATTGGTTATTTCAAGACCCTGGTTTAGCTCATCTTCACAGCGTTTCAGTACGGGAACTTCAAAAATTTTCACGTTTTAGAGAAGGAAACAACCTGATCACCTATACAAGTGGCTGGTCTTACAAGGGAAGGACACTTGGTCACCGCGGCCATTCATAATGATTAGTATATCAAAAAATGCGCCCTTCAATGCTGGTTCGAATACTTCTTCCATATGCGAAACGTTAATCTGGATGGAGTTATGATTATTTTTTCATGAATAAACTGCGTGCTACGGAGGGTCAAAATTATCAATAAAAATTTTCTTTCCTTTCCAAATGCTGAATATGATTGAGATAGGTATAATACAACAGTATTCTTTTCAAGATTCTCTTCAATAGCTTCAAATGGTAACTTAGAACAAATTTGGTGATTTTACCTACACAGTACGCAAATTTTCTACGAAAAAAGTTCATAACTTCCTTCAGAAGATCGTTTCGCAGTATCGAGCACAGATTTGGAATCAGCTTTTCGAGGTACATCTTACAGTATACAGGGTGGGGCAAAAGTCTGGGAGCCTAGTACGTACCTTTTCAGATAAAATCAGAAGGAAAGTGCCTAGGAACAAAAAATTTGGTGCACACATAAACAAACCTTCACTAATACAGCGCTGCCTTCAAATTTTGAGATTGCCCCTTCTGGCTTCAAAGCAGCCCTTTGAAATCTTGGCGAGTCCGACTGTCGTGGCACGCAGACAGTGGTGATGAAATTCGTCCCACGCCTTTACGATAACTGTTTATTTCACCAGGCAAATATGCAATGTGATAGAGCAAGCTTCTGGCTACAACGCACTGTGAAGAAATTCTTTTCGCAGTGTTTAAGAAAAAATTTTTAGAATTTTAATTAAAGGCAAGTGTACTCGTATACTGGAAATCTGGATGCGATTGCGCGAACGGGAGCGAAGAATCGTAATCTGAAAATTATTGAAATTGCTTAATCGATCGAACACCAGTACACGCTTGCATAGAAGACTCATAGAAAGAAAATAGCCTAGAGTTCAGTGCCTGCTGTGCCCCTATAGCTTTAAAATTAATTCTAAAAAAATGGCCGCTGGCACGCAGCTGGTATTCGCAAATTTTTATTTTCCGTTCTTAAAAGAATAGTATCTGACAAACGCAACAGCGAGGGATTGATAGCGCAAAGTCTCCTCTACATTATACGCATCGAAGTGCTTTAGAATATCCACTTATCGTTAGTTACGAAATAAGTTGTGAAGACAAAAAATTTCGATTTTCTCGTTTTGCAGAGCACTTGTTTGATAAACCCAACTCCTACAAAAACATATAGCAAGCATTTTCAGCCAGCCAAAGTATGTTTTGTAGAGGATGATCGCAGCAATATGAAGCACAAATTTGGAGCCAAAATTATCAGTACTTCCCTGATTTACAGCACTTCAAAGTAGGCTCCCAGGCTTTTGCCCCACTCTGTACATTGCATTTCAAATGGCCACGGTGACCGAGTATCCTTTCCTCGTTAGAGCTTCTATACCGAGAAGGAATTAATTTTTGAAGTATTTTCTCATAAATACCTTTGAAGCTTAGAGAATACCACATAATTTAGGCAAAAGTTGCAGCCGAGCTGCTGTAAAGACACAAATTTACTAAGGTTCTGTGTTTCTTCTTTGATAATAGCATGTTTCCTTCCAATCTCAGGCGTGATTAGAAAGATTTGTCGATGAGCATTAACAATTGAAAGGCTTGTTTTTAATCTTGTCGTTGTTCTGACTGCATTCAGGATCTGAAACACTGATAGTCAAGAAAATATTCTCTCTTGTTAACGAAAATTCAGTCTGAGGTAAGCAAAAGGGTTTTGTCTTCCATCGAATCTTCATCAAAGTCCCTATGTGAACATGGAGTATAGGTTTTTGTGATTGCTTGAGTTGGACAAATAATCACTATTCTGTTACACTGATCTAACTACAGAACGCGGAAGTCATAAAATTCTACAAATTCTTCGGTTAACGCAGAAAGGAAAGCTGGTCTTAACGTGTTCATGCATAAGCCTGAAGTCACAGTGTAGCGCATTTGCGAGATGTGAATGTGATGCAAAATCAGAGAGTGCCTACTGTAGTGCACAAGCAGTCGAATGATACTAATTTTGAATTTACAAGCGATATTATTTGCAAAAATAGTCTGTTGAAACCTTTGAAAACTTAACTGATGTAGCACCCTTCGATAAGCCCGCTCATAAAACATGGCGGCAAGATCGACTACAGCATATTTCTGCCTAATCAATAAATTTTGCAATCGTTTTTCACGGTCAAAAACCTATCTTTTTGCAAATAACTCTCCTCTTTGTTGGGCTACAAACCGTGATTTATTGGTATATCAGGCTTCAAAACAAGCAGCGGTCAGAACGGGGGCTCGTTTTGTTTGCCTTACAATTTAAACACCGTGTTTTTCCACTTAGCTTTTTGTCACGTGGATTCTACGATTTGCTCTTGTATAGCTTCGCTTGTACCTCGCACTATGAGTCTGCCAGTGTATGTTTTATGATAGGCTTGCGATGAAACAGGGTATCGTAATTGAGAAGGACGAGAACGAAGATAATAAAATTTGGGAAGTGATTTTGTAGGACTTTTACATTGCGACTTCAACACACTGGTTTTTGATAACGGCGACTAGTTGATAGGCCGCGAATTGAGCCCCCAGTCCTCCAAAGAATCCAGAGAACGCTGAACATGAAAAAAGAGCAAATGAACAAGCAACAGGATCGAAGGTGTAAAACATATCTTAATCACCTTATTAGGATGGATTCCTTTCGTCGAGTCCTTATTAGGATGGATTCCTTTCGTCGAGACAAGTGCAAGTAGAACCGCAAAGAGGAGTCCTTTCAGGAGCCACATTGTTAATATTACCTGCGAAATTTGGGGTCGAGAGGTTGAACGTCTGGGATATTTAAAGCTATCGACTGGCAATTTCTACAAAAGTATTTATAGATGATGGGATTTGAGAATTCAGGGAGGTAATCAAGGAGGTGTAACTATACTGTTATCTCTACAGTAAGTACTATAGTGCTTGAATCGCGCAGCTTCAAGCCACTATTGCATTGTTCTTGACTTCCGATTAACTGTGAAAATCAGCAAGCGGAAATGTCAAAAATGAGACTTCCTCTTCAGAAAAAATGCCAATGATATTCCAAATTATGATTGCGTTGTTAATTGTTCACAATGGTTTTCGAGTGGAGTCTGTGCATAAATTATGTTATTTCGTACATAAACTTACAAATGGAGTTTCATTGCCTAATTAAACACATGGACATCTGATCCATATCACGTGGACATCTCGTATCATATTTTGTTTTAACTCCACACAGAGTTACTGCAGATAAAGTGAATATACAATGCTCAACTTACGTATTGTTAAAAGAGGATCCAGTAAGTATACAGTAGGCAGCCTCGAAATGAAGTACTATGTTGCGATGATACATTGTAGGAGTTAATCAGACAGTTGAAAAACCTAGTATTTGAACTGTCATTTGAAATAAATTCATTTGACCTGATTGACAAAACTCTCCCCCTTTTTGTTCACGTCGAAAGACGACTTAGTGCTCAGTTCAACGACTATCGCTACCTACGTAGAGTATTAAGATTCGAAATTGTAAAGATGAGTTAGAAAGCACTTCAGACGTACTAAGGAAAACATCGTTGATTCGCATTTGCTTGACTTTTATGGAGATTTTCAATGTTTTTAAAAGCTGTTTAATATCGAGTATGCATATTGCAGCGAGCATTATCTTGAGGCGCACCCGTGTTCCTCTATAGAGCATTTCTTATGAGCCTTTAATATTGTCTTTGCATAACACAGCATGCATTATTTTGTAATCGCATGTTCCTCCTGTAGAGCATTTCATATGACGCTTCGATATTAAATTTGCATTTTACAGGATGCATTATTTCGTAATCGCAAGTTCCTCTGTAGAGCATCAATTTGATGCTTTTTGCGTTCGAGTGCAGTGACAAATTTGAAAAATGATATAAAGAAATGTCAAGTTCTAGGAAAAAAATGGCAAGTAGCGCCCTTGTCGCAAAAATCCGATGGCATTCTTCAACTCTATAGTCTTAAACGAAAAAGGGAGACTTTTAGAGCGAGTAGTAAGCAATAAAGTAATATGTTCCCTGCTTGTATTGTTGTCCCGTTTGATGCAAGAGTCAAAGATCAAGAGTTCTGCATGACTAGCTACGACGCATTCAGCAATTAAGCTGATCTCCAACTCTGTTTCACTACTGCCCAAACTGCAAAGAGTGTTCTGGGTTGCCTTGAATTGCTACCCTACTGTAGATGTAAGGGGTCCAAAAAGCACACTGCTTGTTCGATAATTTCCTCTCGCAACGTTTTTCGACAATCTTGATCACATTCTGTAGAGGTGGCTTCAACCTATACATATAGTATGGAGCGAATCAATCGCTCCCATTTCAAAAACCACTTTTCAAGAACTTCTTATTTTTATTTATATAAAATGTATGCTGGAAATACGTGTAATCCTACACTCACTCAAAATTTCGCCGAGCGGCCCGCAAACACCGTGCGTGGGCATTTGGTGTTACCGGACCGTTCATTTTCGCTGTGTCATTGCTATGCGCTTGTTCAGTCCCACAAAAGCCGAGCTATCTGTCGACCAACGCCGGCCGAGCGAAGTCAGCTTTTCGAAGCATATTCTTATATCCGTTGTTCTGGCCATATTGATAATTTTTGGGTTCGAATGCGTAAAAGCAATGATACCGAAGAACTTTATCACTCATTATCTCAGATTTGAAAACCCATTGTATTTGAAATCCAAGCTATTTGTTTTAAACACTACAAACACGAAGTATACATCTCCTTCGCATCATATTCCTATCACTTGGCATACTGCTTCTGATGTAGGTGAGCCTGGATAAGTAGAATTTGACTTTTGATCGGAGGTCCCGATTCTTAATGACGGTGGGATTATGGATAAGTTGATGAAGGAGCCCAGTCGTAGAACTGCGAAATACTGATCACAACCAAAAATGAAAGTGATAACAAACTCTACTTTGGAAGTAGGCAAAAACACAATGAACTTGGTTGCAAAAAGTGGATAATAAACTATTCGGCTGAAAGTATCTGCTTTTATCGCAGTTCAGTGGAGCTAACCGAGAATAGTAGCAAGTAGCAAAGTCATTGATTAACCCTTGAAGGTTTGAGTAAGTTTGAAATTATGTATCCTTGATCCCAACCCATATGCATTCCCTCAAAATGACGCTCCGCCTAGCTTCGGGCTTGCGCCACGTTGCGGGAGCATCGTTTAGCGTCAACGTAGCACAGGCTTTTCTACGTTGTTCTTATTGCTATATCACTCCAAAAATGTGCACGTCCGAAGCGAGGCTGAGCGTTATTCTGAGGGAATACTTATAATTGAGATTACGGGTAGGTTGACTAGGTTGATCGCCCCATACAACGCTCCTGCGATGTCTATAGCAATTTGCCCGCAGTGACTATTTTTTTCATGCGCAAGTGCTCCCAATACGCAAAAGCAATTTGGTAAACGTTAAACTTGCTAGTCTATAATGAAACAAATGTGAAGTTAGAGTTAAGAAGTAGTATGTAATTGTCAAAATACAAAATTTCACGATAATTTTTGCATTTGTTTTTTATATCCGGTTTTGGGGCTAAGAACTATACCGGTAGTGCAGCTTCCTTGGTGCCCCTCATCAGTAGTTCCCAAAAGTTTGAATTTCGTCTGCTGCACATGATTATTTAAAAGATTTCTCCAAACGGATCTTAGGGTTGGGCCATACTGCGCGGCGTAGCGGAGTGCGCGACGCACGCAACGTGCGCATACAGAATTTATCAAATAAAGTGTCGGGTGCACCAGCATCTAAGCACATTCTCAGGGCAAGCATGGGGAAGGCGGCGCCTCAATGGATTGAAAGTGATTAAGGAGCATGTTTCGCGGAAGAGATGCAGAGTCCAGCGCGGGAATGGAGATGCTGGCGCACCCGACACTTCAACTGATAAGCCGTGTACGTGCATAAAGGTACGCGGCATAAGCTGCGCATTCTGGCTCAACGTTTAATGCGCTTTTGATGGCATTGTAAACGAAAGATTGTGTGCTTTGTCGTCACGATTTTATGAACTTAAAGCGCCCATAATCACAAAAAATTATCGAGACATATTCTATTATTAGCGCGGATGACATGTCGGATGCTCATTAACTTGAAAGAAAGTTTTTCTTTTTGAAAGTGGCTGCTATCATGATCGTAATTTGCATGCTAAAAATTCCCATAGACAAAAGTTTGAAGATGTGAGATTTTTGGGATTTTGGTCCGTGTAACCACCCTATAAAGTTATTGTGATAAAAACCAGTGGCCGTATTCATCAACGAACCCTCGAGGTTAAAAGTTACCTCAGCTAGCATTTTAGTTTATAACCCGTATTCACAACATCATCGCAATAAAATTCTTTCATGGGTCAAGTCTACGTTGAGGTAGAAATGAACCTTTAAACGCATAAACCCGTATTCATCATTCTACCTTGAGGTTGAATTTTACCTCAATCATCATTTCTCCACCAACTTTCTATTATGCATCCAAGGTAGAATTTAACCCTAGGATAGCTAGGGTTAAAATCTACCTTGAATTTGCACATAAGAGTTAAACTCTTCATAAGGACCTCCTTCATTCTAATATATTATATCAATACTAGCTCAAATTTCACTTGTTTACTTACACGGAAACCTTTTTTGGTCGAAGTTACCTTTTTAGATGGGAATGTATAAGTTTAGCAGAAAACATTCCAAATCTGTCTTTTTATCTGTGGAACGTTCCTTGACGAGGAATTGTGAGCGTTCATTGCAGCATGAATTTACATATACAATTAGGATGGAGTTGCTGAATCTCACTAGTCCTAAAGCAATAATTGTAAGATATATTAGGTTGGACATTAAGTTTTGCACCTAGTTTCATAAGTTCAACCTCTTTAGTTATGGCGCATTCAAACTTTGGCAATATGTGAAGAGTAATATGTGACACAACTGCGCGCAGATCGCTCAAATTTTGACATGAAATAGGAAAGTTTCAGGCATTTCAAAAACTAGTAAATTTTGAGAATTTCTGAAGTTTCAAGCTGAAATGAAGCCTTTACTAGCCTAGACCATGCGCAGTGATCCGGAATCGTCTACGAATTATGGCTAGCAGTTGACTCATTGGCTTAGTAAGAAGTAAACAAAATTTAGGGGAGTCGAGATTTGGCGCCCCCACAAAGTCGACCAAGTCGCAATCCGCAAGCGCTGCTGGGGACGACCGTCAATGACTAAAGAGTCAGAAGCTCAATTTTCGCCGAGACTTGGCATAAGGCTACTTGAGCTACCAGATACGAATATCATATCCATTGGTTATATAACGCCTCTTTCTTTGTTCAGAGTGGGACCCCTATATATCAAACTTACAGTAACCTTACAAAAAAGCCTTTACCACGCAAAGTCATTATCATTTTTGTGATCAGCATGTCGGATAACACCTGTCGGATAACACCAATTTTCAGCTAAATCTGTCATATTTTATATTTTTTTCATTTTATACCATATACTTAGCTTAACCCTCATTGTGAAGCTAGAATATGGCAGAAGAGCAGCTGCGCTTGTAGCTTACGTCACAGCCTACACAATCGCAAAATTTAAGTGCATATGTCGAGAGAGAGGAAAGCATTAAATGAGTTGCAAAACTTAATTTCCAACTATTTGATTACTGGAGTATCTATTAAATAAAGTACTTTAATGATTATCATTGTTCCATTGAAGCGCTAGGAAATATATTGCAACCATTTTTGTCCTACTTGCATATCCAATTTCCGCTCCAAAAAACGCTCATACTTTGTCCATAAATTCCGCAGCTAAGGAAAACAGTGGCATCAGCGTTCTAAGCCCTTTAA